ATGTTTTTCTTTTGAAAATAATTCTAACCCATGTATATGGTTGAAAAATGGCTCAGTGGGTAATTGGCTTGACCCACTGACCAATAATCATGTTCCTCTCGCCATGCTCGCGGAAGCACTACAAACAATAAATACGGGTGCTTCCTCAGGCACGGGCAGCGGTAAAAATGGTGGTAATGCCACAAGTATTACTACCTTATTGATGTTGATGGAAGGGCTTCAGCCTTCAAGTTCACGCTTTGGATTAGGGAATTCCACCGCTCGGCAAGTATTACCTTATTGTGCTCCTAATTTAGGGTACCCCCCTCATTGGACATCATGTCAAAGCCCAGATCATAAGTCAAAGCAGATTGCACTGGGTTTGAATTTACCCCTCCGTTAGGAAGATATTCCTTTAATCTTGCTAATCGGACTAATCAGAAAACTAATAAGAAAAATACCTGGCCCTGGTTTCAATGGATTCTTTCTAATGAAAGAGGGGCCTTTTCATCTTTAGAGCCTTTTGCTGCCCTTTGTAATTTGACTGTTCTACTACTTAACATCTCTGCCAGCAGAGATACAAAGGGCGTTCTTTCAAATGTTACTGTATGACTAATATTACCAATGCCACAGAGGATGTGATCTATTGTAATACCTCTAATGCAACTTGCCTCGCAAGTCAATGTTGGAATGGTACTTATAACATGGCTGTGGTGATGAGAGTTCCTACATATGTTCCCATCCCAGTCAGAGTTGATACCGGTACCTTCCCAATTGCTCATTTGCTCAGAACAAAACGAGACTTTGGGATAACAGCAGCCCTAGTCACCGTAATTGCTGTATCTGCTGCAGCTGCCACAACAGCTGCTGTTGCCATGGCTGCAACAACTCAGATTGCAGAGACAGTTAATGAAACTGTGGAAAGAACAGCCTCCACAATGACCACTTTGAAATCCATCGATGGTCACTTGAAAGCTGACATTTTGACAGTAAACCAAAGAGTAGACCTCTTACAAGAGCAAGTGGATGATCTAGTAACCTTAACCAGTGTAGGATGTATTATTCCCTCTCCTCTTTATGCATCACTTCCAGATTGGCTGAGAATTTTACAAAGAACGGTAACCTGAGCCAGCAGCAGAGCGCATACCTCCAGGGAAACTGGAGCAAGGAGTTTGAGAACCTGACGGACACCTTGATCAACCAGATTATTTCCCTGAATGCCACACGCTGGAATTACCTACTGCTAATGCTTTTCTTAATATGCTGAAACAAACTTTTAGTTATTTTAAGGAGTGGGCGGGAATTGGAGCCCTGTCAGGCCTAATGGTGCTTGCCTCCCTGGTATGTCTGTGGTGCATTTGTCGCATGAGGGCCTCACAACGTCGCAATGCAGCCATGATCATTCAAGCCTTCACGGCTATTGAAGCAGGACAGTCCCCTCAAGCTTGGTTAACTACTTTAAAAGATATATAAGCACAGGATGTGAGGCTTGCGCACTGCACTTGAGGGTAATTACATCCATCTCAAGAGGAGCAAGTCTGATTGCACGTGGGTTAGTGTCTAACTCCCACCTCTGTAAAAAGGGCACCGAGTGGGTCTAGTGTTTTCTGGGTGGATGACACCTGGAGAAACGCTGGTACATGCTCTAATTCGTACAGAGATCAGACCTCTACTCTTGCCTGTTGCTTTTAAAAGGGGGAACTGTAGAGAGCTACATGGAGCCACGCCTGAAAGATGGCGCCAGCTTCCGCCTTCCGCGATCCCGAAAGCTCTCCGTGCTCTCCGTGGTAAACAACACCTTATTTGGCTAAGTCCAGGATCACACGATAATCACGCAATGATCGCAAGCTGCTTGTGTATAAGGGGACCTATTGACAGTGCCCACGTGGCAATCCAGGATTGGCGGCCCAGGTCTACTTAAGGGCTGGGAGGGGCTTGCCCAGAGAAGAGAAACCATTGTAACAAGGTCCTGATTAAACTGCTTGCAAGAAGAGCTCCGGTGTTGCATCTTCCTTGCTGACCGAGATGGTCACGACAAATCATCTCTCCAGCCCCCACCCTATTCTTTAAGATCCTCAAATCCCAGGTCTTAAAGACAGATCTACACAAGTTGACAAAAGTTGACAGTTGCTAGCATGACACTAACTTCCACTGTCAATCTTATTGGATTTATAAACACGTGGAGGGGCTGGAGATGTGGCTCCGTGAGTAGAGGCTTGCCTATGAGGTCTGGATTTAACCCCAACACCACAGAAACAAGGCACGGTAGCACATACCTGTTACTTTGGTGCTCAGAAGCTAGAGACAGAAAGATCAGGAGTTCAAGGTCATCCCCAGCTAAGTAGAGAGTTCAAGGTCAACCTGGGTTACCTGAGACCCTTCCTTAAAAAAGAAAATGTAAGCTGGGCATGGTGGCTCTGTCTGCTTCCAGATCCACTGTGGGTACAACTGGCAGCCTCCAGCTACCATAGCTGCCCACCATGCTTTCTCCACCTAATTGACTGGACCCTGAAACTGAGAACCAAAATAAACCCTTCTCCACCATGGTTGCTTGTTAGTCACAGGCATGAGGGGGGAAATACCCTGATACAGATGGCTAACCAGATGGGCAGATGATTGACATTTGGTTGATGGTTAGTGGAACAATAGGATGCTAGGAATCAAACTTACGTCCTCTGCAAGAGCATCAAGCACTCTTAACCACCGAGCCATCTCTCCAGGTCCTGGTGTATTTTATGTAGCACAAAATGTGAGTGAGTGGTTACATTTTTCTAGACTTTGTTTTGAGACAGGGTCTAACTATGAAGCCCTGGCCAGCCTGGGATTCACTATGTAAATCAGGCTGACCTTAGGCTCACAGAGGACCACCTGCCCTTGCCTTCTGAGTGCTGGAATTTAAGATAGATACCACCATGCCCAATTGGGATTTTTTAAAGTTTATTTTAAATTAATCTGTGTTTCTCCGTTTCTTACCTTTTCAATTATTCTATGTGTATGGATAATTTGGCTCTACATATTTCTCTGTATCATATGCATGCCTGGTGCCTGCAGACACCTGCATGTGGCTGCCTGCCTACATCCAAGTCAGAAACCTGAGGAGAGGCAGACACTTGGCTGGTGCCTTCCAACTCTTTCCCAGAATATGATTCTGGGACTGGAGAGATGGCTCAGCAATTAAGAGCACTGGCCACTCTGGCTGCTCTTCCAAAGGGCCGCTGTACTTTGTACCCACATGTCAGTTGACAACTGTCTGTAACTCTGGTTTCAGGGAATGCAGCACCCTCATACAGACATACATGCAGGCAAAAACCCTAGTGCACATTTAAAAAAATCATTAATTAAAAAAAGAATATGATTCCACAGTTTGGTTTGCGGCCTGATGGAAGTCACTTAAGAGTTCTTAGAGTGGGGCTGAAGAGCTAAGAGCACTGGCTGTTTTTCCAGAGATCATCACATGGTGGCTCAGAACCATCTATAATAACATCTGGTGCCCTCTTCTGGCGGCCAAGCGTACATGCAGGCAGAACACTATACATAATAAATAAATACATCTAAAAAGGAAAAAAAAGGATTATTAGAGTGGAGGGCAGGATACAAGTATCTGATAGAGGAAATGGGAAGAGGGCTCTTTACGGAGGAGGAGGGAGGTCAGTACAGAAGGAGGAGGAGGGTGGGTAAAATAATAAGGATATCTAAAAATATCCACCAGGAATCATACTATTAACTATTTACCAAAAATAAATAAATAAACCTATAATATGAAGAATTCCATGTATAAATATACATATATAGTTTTTAAAAAATATTTATTCATGGAGCTGGTGAGATGACTCAGTGGTTAAGTTCACTGACTGCTCCTCCAGAGGACCTGGGTTCAATTCCCAGCACCCACATGGCAGCTCACAGCTGTCTGTAAATCCAGTTCAAGAGAATCTGACATCGTTATGCCAATGTGCATGAAATAAAGTTAAATAAAGTTTAAAAAATATTTATTCATTTATTATGTATACAATGTCTGCCTACATGTGTCCCTGCAGGCCAGAGAGGGCACCAGACCTCATTATAGATGGTTGCGAGCCACCATGTGGTTGCTGAGAATTGAACTCAGGACCTTTGGAAGACCTGGCAATGCTCTTAACCACTGAGCCATCTCTCCAGCCCCACATATATAGTTTTAATGAACTTTTCTCATCTGGGCTAATGGCAATTCTCCCAAGAGCCAAAGAGCATTTAACAAAAACTCTAATACCAGACATGAAAAGCCCTCCTTTGAGTTCTTGGCCAGGACTGTCCAAAACATACAGTCTATTGTTGTTGCTCTTGGTTGCTTCCTAGAGGTAGAAGATGATTCCTTATTGCTGAAGACACCACACGCTTCAGAAATAAGGCCCAGAGACCTCTGAGCTGAAACTAACCTGAGTGTCTCCTCCCTGAGAACTGGCTTTCATGGTTCCAGCAGGTTGCATGGAAGCTTCCAAAGGAGGGTGGCAACTCGCAGTCCTGCCCAGCTCTGATGCCTGTGAACCACATCAACGACTCGCATGGCATGATACCCAGAAGGGGGCAGTAGTGGCACCCATTACCTTGGCAGTAACCCACTGCTCACTCACTGACTAAAAAAAAAGAGGGAAACCTTAGCAAGGTGGTGATGGCGCATGCCTTGAATCTCAGCCCTCCGAGCTCTGTGAGTTTGAGGCTGGCCTGATCTACATGGCTGATCCAGGACAGCCAAGGCTACACAAAGAAACCCTGTCTCCAAAAAGAGCAAAACTATGCCTGGTGCTGGAAACCCAGCTAACCGAGTGCTAGTGAGGTCTGCTGCTGTTCTAGGCAGTCTGGTGACAGAGTGACAAGTGCAATGTGTACAAGGATTGGGGGAGGAGGGGTCACCAGGTCACAAAAAGCAACAACAGCAACAACAACAACAACAACACGAAGACTTACGAAAGCTTGGCTTTAGCTTATGCTTGTCTCTAATTAGCTCTTTTAACTTAGCACATACTCTTCAAAGCGCTCGTTACCTCATCTCTCTTTTGCCATCCTGTTTCCTCCTTGTCTGGCTGGCCACTCTGCCTTTCTTTGGCCTCTCTGCCTTTCTTCTTCCCAGGGTTCTCTCCATCCGGAAGCCCCTACTATACCTCCTGCCTAGCTATTGGCCTTATAGCTTTTCATTAACCCAATCACAGTGATCTTTACACAGCATTACCAAATATCTCGAATTAGGAAAGTACCTCAGAAACCCCCAAAAGCAGCAGGGAGGAAAAGTAAGGTGGGGACTTCCACGAGGCAGTCACACACAATGCAAGCATACTGTCATAGAGGCTCTCTAGGGGCCACAGCTGGCAGATGCACCCAATTGCCCCTCCTTCCCTGTGCCACAAACCTACACATTTAAAGTATGTGTGCCTGTGCGCAGTGTGTGTGTATGTGGGGGTGGGGCTAGGCATGGGTTTGCCACAGCGCACATGTAAAAGTCAGAGTTCAACTTTAGAGTGTGGTCTGTTCGCCCACCTTTACACGGTGTCAAGGAAGGAAGTTAGATCACCAGACTTGCTTAACAAACACCTTTACACTGAGCCAGTTCTCCCATGCTCTTCTGCACATTTCTTTCTTTCTTTTCTTTTTCTCTTCTTCTTTCTTTCTTTCTTTCTTATTGTATTTTGAGACAGAGTTTCTCTGTATAACAGCCCTAGCTGTCCTGGAACTAGTTCTGTAGACCAGGCTGGCCTTGGACTCACAGAGATCTGCCTGCCTCCTGAGTGCTGGGATTAAAAGCATGCACTACCACCACCTGGCTGTTTCTTCTTTTTATGAGATAGGTGTACATGCAGATAGAGCATGCATATATATAAAATAAATGAAAAGGTGTACAGCAAAACATCCTGCTATTTTTATGATTTTTTGCTTGTTTTTTGTGTTTTGTTTATATTTTGAGGTTTTTTGTTTGTTCATTTTCTTTTCTTTTTCTTTTTTTTTTAAGATGTATTTATTATATATACAACATTCTGCCTCCATGTCAGAGGAGGGCGCCAGATCTCATTACAGATAGTTGTGAGCCACCATGTTGTTGCTGGGAATTGAACTCAGGACCTCTGGAAGAGCAGCCAGTGCTCTTAACCACTGAGTCATCTCTCCAGCCTTATTTTTTTTCTTTGCTTTTTCTTTCTTTCTTTCTTTCTTTCTTTCTTTCTTTTTTCTTTTTCTTTTTTTTTTTTTTTTTTTTTTTTTTTTGATTTTCAAAACAGGGTTTCTCTGTAGCTTTGAAGCTTGTCCTGGAACTAGCTCTTGGCTCTTGTAGACCAGGCTGACTTCAAACTCACAGAGATCCGCCTGCCTCTGCCTCCTGAGTGCTGGGATTAAAGACATGTGGTTTATTTCTATGATTTTTAATTATGTGTATGTGTGTGGGTTTGTGTATCTGAGTGTAGTGTCTATAGAGTCCAGAAGAGACTTGGGTCTCCTGGAGCCAGTTACAGGAGGTTGTGAGCCATTGATGCAGATGCTAGGAACTGAACTTGAGTCCTATGCAAGAACAGGTGTAAGACCCCACACTTTCCTGTGGATACCCACACCCGATCCAGGCGTGTGCCTTCCCGAACTCGGGCCCACAAGAATGGACAATTGTCCTGAGGGTTTAAAGCAGACACACACAAAAAAAGGACCTTGCTCATTTACAAGAGTAAATGGCAACTTTATTAAACTCAAGTTGGGTGTTTATAGAAGTGGGCAAGCAGGATCAAAAAGGGCAAGGCCTCCTCCCAACAGAAGCAGGGAGGAGAATAAAGGCCCCAGGCGCCTCAGGGAGAATCAGCTGGGGGAGGCCAGGCGTGTGGAGCCCACTGCTAGAACCTTGAATACAGGTGGAATCACCATAACAAAGAGAGCCAGGTTCTTGCTAAGCTAACCCCTCAAGCCAGTGTTAGTGCAGAATCTCCAGGGAGCCGGAGGTCACACGGCCCTGCGAATAGCCAGGAGAAGGGAAAAAAGACTTTGGTACCTACAAACAGGAAGTATTTTTATCTGCTGAACCATTTTTCAGTCCTCTCCTGCACTATTTATTTATTCATTTAGACAAGCTCTTACAATGTAGGTCTGGCTGACTAGGAACTTGCTATGTAGACCAGGCTGGCCTTGAACTCGGAGATTTAGCTAGCTCCTCTGAGTTTTGAGGTGGGGAGGTTGTTTGATGTTTTAGTTATTTGAGACAGGGTCTCATTCTGTAGCTCAGATGGCCTAAACAATGGCCCTCCTCCCTGCCTCCTTGGTGCTAGCTTAGAGTGTGTACCCCTCCCCCAACCCGGGTCCTGATTTTCTATGACCATCTTTGGGGAAGACAAGATGCATCCTAATCTTCATCTCATATCAAAGATTCATGTCCTTAATACAGAGGACAAAAACCAGTAATGAGGGAAAAACTCAGCTTGAGCTTCCACCTCCATGAACAGTATGAGCCCAATTATGGCTGGAGCCTACAGGTCTACCAGAGGACATCTAGACAGCTCTCTTACTCCAAGAAGCCACAGGAATCAGGTGTCTTCTTTCATTTCTCTGGGAACTCATGTCTGCATGCCACATCTTTAACTGAAAGACTCCCGTGAGCGTCTTCCTTCGGAAGAGACCCCGTGCCCAAAGATCAGTCGAAAACACGCAGCCGGATGCAAACAGCAAGAGGTTTATTGGATACGCAGGTACCTGGGGCGACAAAGTCTCTCGGAGGACTTGCGCGCCCGCAGGTTGGGGGTGAGGGGTTCTTATAGGAGAGCAAAAAGCGAGGTTTACAGAAGCAAGATGCAGGGTGGTAAATTCTTAACCTAAATAACAATGAGGGGACTACTCAGCGGTTTACTGTTCCTCCTATCCTGCCCCCCTTTCCTGGCTGGCGACCAGATGTCTGATTGCACAGCCCCTGACTCGTGACGAGCCCCGCTTTATACGTGACTCAGGCCTCGCAATCCTCTCTTTGTTTCTATGGCCAGTTCATAAATCCCCTGTCTTGCAGCCAGATAAGGCTGTCCTTGCTCTAACCTCAGGTATCTTTGCTCAGCATTCCGGAGGCCCTGAATTAAGCTTGTTATCTGTGAACCTTTGCAAAACGGTATAACTGTGGTTAAAACGAGTTGGGGTCCTTCAAACAGCCCGGCTGTAATGCTAGAAACAGGGACCAGAGCTTCAAATGCCATTACAGAGCAGATATGGGCCCCTGTGCTTTGATTTTCTTCTCCTGGAGCAGCCTCCCAGCAGGCGCTCAACAAAGCTTTGAACGATCACAAAATAAACCCTATTACGGAAAAATATGTTAATTACATATACTGTGGGGAAAAAAACAAGGTCCCAAAAAAACTATACAGGTTCTGGTGTAGTCCAGGTCACCTTCACTCACTATGAGGCAGGCCTTAGCCTCCACCTTCCTCTCTGGACTTGCAGGCCTGCACCACCAGGTATCATGTATGTGCTGGAGCTGCAACATGTGCCTCCTGGCTTTACAACTGCTGTACCCTTTGAGCCCCAGCCTTAGCTCGAGATCATCGTTCTCCAATGTGCTTGGCACTCATTGGAGTTCCCAGTGCCAGCTACAGAATCAATCCCTTTCCTGGATTTTCCCATGCTCAGTTTGTACATGATCCTGGGTTTCATCCCAAGCACTAAAGCAGAAAGCCAGTGTCTGGGTCCTGCTCCACACCAGGAACTTGGCCCTTTATGGAAGGCAGGCTCCCACCTGCCAGAGGCACTCAGGTTTTCTCCCGTTACCCTGCTACTGCTCCATCCTCTGCTGTCTCCTCTGAGCCCCTCTATCCCTGCACCACTTCCACCTTGAGTTCCAGCTGCTGCTGCTACTGTGGCTGACTACCAATTAATGTTTAATGTTAAGCTAAATAAAAGATTCTGTCTCAGGACTTGGACTGAGTGTTGTTAAAATCCCTTCCCTGGAGAAGGAAACATCCTATGGTCCAAAGGACAAATGGAGATCTGAGTTCACCAAAGTTCACCCAGAAAAACTAACAAGTTTATTGAATTTATTTACAGAGCATGCGTGAGGGATGGGAGCAGGAGTGTGGATGACCCCAAAAGCAGCCACAGTGGAAAGCATGGATGATGACTTCACTGTGGCTACAGAGATAAGTCTGCTTCTATTCCTTTTCTGCCCATTTTCTTCAGCTCCTCCTAGAGGCCTTGTAGAGTTAGGACAGAATTGCAGTCATCCGGTTAGGAGTGACTGCATATTTAGATGATGGTCCCATGACACTCTGTCCCTCCTTCTATAAAGCAAAAGCAGCAAGTCCAGCTGAAATCACATTGCAAGCTGGCAGTTGGTGAAGATGGTAGCAGTACAGCTTGGAAGGCAGTCTTGCACAACACTGAGATATGAGGAGTTCCAAGACCAGCCTGGGTTACAAGAGACACACCCTAATGAAGAAATGAACCTCTAGGAAATCTCTAGGTGGGAGTGATAGCTTTAGAAAAAAGGACAACTTGGGTGGAGGATGGGGGACCATACAGATTATGAACAGATTAGGGGAGGAAGTGGCTAATTGAGACCTTTTGCCTGCTATATGTAATCCAGTGGGTGTTGTGTAAATCAGCTGTGGTGGGGCCTTTGACTAAGGGCTGGAAAGCAACCTTTTTTGTTTGTTTCTCTGAGACAGGGTTTCTGTGTGTTAACAGTCCTGGCTGTCCTGGCACTCCCAATTGCTGGGGTTAAAGGCATGTGTCACCAGTGTCACTGTAACCTCTTGGGGGGTGCTGCAGCCTTCATTACTAAACCTACATGTGGCCCAATTGCTTGCCAGGACTGCCAATGTGGAAGCATCTGGCTGCTGTTGGATCCCTTTTGGAGTCATGTACTGTTCAACCCATCCTTTGACTCAACCCCACCTCTGTAAGTGAACATCAAGATTTATTTAATGTACACATCTTTATGCCAAAAGAGAACATCCAAATCCCACTAGAGATGTTTGTTGCAAGTTACTATATGGTTGCTGACAACTCAGAACAGTGCTCTTAACCACTGTAAACTTTTATTAATAACTTTTTTATCAGCATTGATTACTGTATGTCTGTGTGAAGATGCCAGATCCCCTGTAACTGAAGTTATAGACAGCTGCAAGCCGTATGTGGGTGATTAGAACTGAACCTGGGTCCTAAGAGGCCAACGTTCTTAACCCCTGAGCCATTTCTCCAGTCCCTGTAAGTGAACTCTTAAAAGAGTACCAGATGTGAAGACAAACTACGGAGTGCTTAAAGCTCTCATTACAGATAGGACCCTGAGAAGCAACGCAATTCTCTTCACATGTCCTGACATGCCTGAACTTACTGAATACATGTGTGACCCTGGCTTCCTGTTTTTGAGAAAGTTTCTCCCATTAGCACAGGATAAAAACTGTTACACCTGACAATACTAAGATCTGAAGTGAACTAGTAGTGTCTACAATATAGCTCTCTCCCGCTGTTCCTGAGCTATACCTGTGTATATGAAGCTAAACACACTGGAGTGGGAGTTCTGGCTAAAAGCAAAGAAAGAGTTATCATATACTAAACTGAACACTTGAAACACTAAGTATTACATACTCCAACATGAGCAATAGGTCAGTGCTTGCTGTGCCTGAGGAAATTAGAGTCCTGGGTATCATAGTGGAAAGACTGACTCCAATCTTCAAACATGAGCAGAACACACCTACAAATATTTAAAAGGTCAGTATTGGTGGTGCAGGCCTTTAATCCCAGCACTTGGGAGGCAGAAGGATCTCCAAAGTTCCAGGTTAGCCTGGTCTGCAGAGCAAGTCCAAAACAGACTTCAAAGTTACAGAGAAACCCTGACTTGAAAACTCCTGCCCCACCTCAAATTTTTATTTTCTACTACGTTACCCATGGCAACCATTCATGTAGGTTTTTGAGACAGTGTTTCTCTGTATAGCCCAGGCTGGCCTTGAACTCAAGAGATCTGTCTACCTTTGCTTGTATTAATGGCATGTGCCACCACATTTTTAAAGTTAAAAAAGACCAAAACTGTATACCCATATAGTTTTGCCTGCGTGCTGCCAGAGCCCCAAAGAGGCTATTGGATGCCCTAGAACTGGAGTTACAGGTGAGCTGCATGGTTGATGCGACACTAGACCTTGGTTCTCTGGAAAAGCAGCCAGTGGGCTTAACTGAGCAACTCAACGCCCAAGCTTGATAACCTGCACATTTCAACATCAGGTCCCAAAAAAGGAAAGCAAAGCAAGATCAGACCTTTGGGAATGCAAGAACTTTATTCAAAGTGCACTGAAACTGATTAACAGCTTAAAGATGCGAGATACTAAGACATCTCCCCTCAAGCCCAAGAACAAGCGCAAGAGGTGCTCTTTCTAGACAGTGTACTAAGAAAGGTGCGTCCATCTTCCTGTTTGACTTTCTTAGTGGTGTTACTGGGCTCGACCTCCAGGGTGATGGTCTTGCCAGTCAGGGTCTTCACAAAGATCTGCATCCCACCCCTGAGGCGCAGGACCAGGTGCAGGGTGGACTCCTTCTGGATGTTGTAGTCGGACAGGGTGCGGCCATCTTCCAGCTGTTTGCCTGCAAAGATCAGCCTCTGCTGGTCAGGGGGGATGCCTTCCTTGTCCTGGATCTTTGCCTTGACGTTCTCGATGGTGTCACTGGGCTCAACCTCCAGGGTGATGGTCTTACCAGTTAAGGTTTTCACGAAGATCTGCATTGTCTGTCAAAAAAAATAAACAGGGCAGGAATGATACAAATGTTAGTGGGATGGCATTAACAGCTGGGTATCTGTGAAATGCATTCCAGTTTAGTTCACATAGCCAAATTCTAGTTACACAAACCCTGTTGTAAAACTGTACTATCTAAGCATTTGGGAGGCAAAGGCAGACTTTTGAGGTCAAGGCCAGCCTGGTCTTCCGGATTATTCAGGACTACAGAGTAACCCTCTCTGGAAAAAAATTAAGCAAACCAAAAAGAAAGACACCTAGGTATAGTGAGCTCTGTCTAGATTACTAATTTGGTGGGTGGAACCTGCAATACCATAAGCTGAAAGTCATTTACTAACTATTTGCATAGCTTAAAGGAAAGCCTATTTCACACTCACACCTGAGGTCACTGGGCGTCTCCACCCCTAAGAGGCATGAAGCAGATCCAGTCTGACCTATACAGCCGTTAAGATTCAGACTGCCTTTAAAAAATAAAAATAAAACAAAGCACCGAGCCAGCACACACCTTCATTCTTATCAATGAGACTTGGGGCAGACAGATCTCGAATTAGTTGGGAGGCCAGAGATAGTGAGACCCTATTGTCTCAACCCTGCTACTCCCCAAAAGAGCAAATGTGGGTCAGAACACACACCATGGACAAAAACAGTAAGAAAACCAGAAAGACCCACAAGTCAGTAATTCAAATAGTTCTCATGTCAACAGCAGGAATGAAACTGCAGGAACCAGAGATTGTAATTGGGTCTGGGGTGGCGACTCAGGCCATGCATCCCATCGCGTGGGTGACAGAGGCCGGGACCTGACAGTTTAAGACCACCCCGGCCCTGGCTATGCAGCGAGTCTCCTGAAACACAGGACAAGAAACGAAACTCAAACCGAGGCTTACTTTTCCCTCGCTCTGGATTTCCGGTTCCTGTTCTCTCTGAAGAGGCTACCCGAGGCCCAAACCCTGTCTTGCAAGTGAGGGAAAGCAATAGTCAGGGCAAATGGCCTCGCCACCCATTATGAGCCCATACTGACCGCGACGTCACGGGTGCCATAGGCCAGGCTGAGCCGCTACCTACCGACACCCCCCCCCCACGTCTCAGTCGCACTTCCGTCTTTAGCAACGGAAGCAAAGCCGACCTCTGCCGACAATCAATCTCCCAGGGCTCTTACATCACTGCAGCCCGCAACCCGCCAAAAAATAGTAAAAAATAAAACAGACAAAAGGGTGACTGCAAGTTCCCGGATGAAACCGACTGCAGCGGGCTCGCGGGCCTGCTTTCCCCAACCTCGTCCAGGGCCTCAGGGCCGCGAATCTTTCCCCGCAGCCTTCCACCTGGGCGCCATCTTGCCGCGGGGTCCTCCGCCTCGGGACAGCCGCCCTCCTCGCGGGCCACGCAAACGGAACGTCCAGGCCGCTGGCCGCCCCTTTCCCCCCCTTCCCGCCTCTCAGACCCGCCGGCGCGGCGGCCTTCTCACCAGCGCTGGCGGCAGCGATGCTCCGAGAGATGAAACGACAGTACTCGAGGTCTCGACGGAACTAGCCGCGACTCACCCGGCGTCCCTTTATGTAATCATCGGAAGCCCCGCCCTCCCCACGATCCCTCCGCGGAAATGCGGTTAGGGACTACTTTCCAAGGCTGTTCTTGTCTCTGCAGCGGAAGCGGCTGACTAGAACCAGCAAGGTCACTTCAAGGCGTGTTCGTGTGTGGAGCTCAGACAGTGGGGGATTTGTGTGTCGGGGAAGGACTGAGACCTCGTGCGGCACCGCGGAGGGATCAGCGCGTGTGACGCGTCAAATCACGACGTGGTCGGCGCGAGAACCCGGCTCGGATCAGCTTGGCAGGAGCGGAGCTCGGCGCATGCGCAGTGCAGCTTCGAGCCCAAGCGCCCCACCAGCTGACCCCGTCTGGGGGTCCGTGTGGCCTCAGTGAGTTCTAGGGACCCAGGGTTTTGCCTCCTGTCACACTGGGATCCCTTTGGAGGCCTCGTCTCCTCAGCTCGGCCAGTCCCTGAGCCCAGCCCTCACCTCTTTGGCACAGTGACAGGGTGGATGACTATGCAAATCTCAAAACAAGGGGAATGAGAAAAAGCTTTTTTAATAAATGTTTGATGGCTCCTCAGGACCGATGGGGATGGGGGGGTGTAGGGGGGAAGAAGAATTATAAAATGGGAAACCTCTCCCCAATTTTGGAAAATGAATCTCAATTCCTTAAAGGCAAAAAATCCACACAGCTCTTGAAAACTGTTGGCCTTAGACCAACAGAACTAGATCTTTCCAGAATGTTCTTGAGTCTGTTTATGCTTTCAGTGTCCTTGGATTCGGGAAGGTTCTGTGTGATTGTCACTAAGGAAACATCAAATTTTCACTGTTGTTCATATTTAGCCCACCTAAGAGATTGAATCCATTGAGGTCCTAGACTTTTTATTTTATTTTTGTTGTTGAGACAGGATCTCAGTGCGTAGCTCTGGCTTTCCTGGAACAAGCTATTTTATTTAGCTATTTTATTTGAGACCAGGTTGACCTCAAATTTACGAAGATTCTCTTGCCTCTTCCTTCGGAATGCTGGGATCAAGGTGTGTGCCACCACACCAAACCTAAGCCCCAGGTTTTTGTTTTGTTTTCAGAGACAGGGTTTCTCTGTAGCTTTGGAGCCTGTCCTGGAACTGGCTCTGTAGACCAGGCTGGCCTCGAACTCACAGAGATCCACCTGCCTCTGCCTCTGAGTGCTGGGATTAAAGGTGGACACCACCACAGGCTGGCATGCTCCAGATTTTTAACTGAAATCTTCAGTCATTTTCCATTAGGCTATGGCCCTTAATTCATTAAATAAGATGTAAAGTCCTTAAGATTTGTACATGTTCGCAGCATGGGATGGAGCACACCTTCAGTCCCAGCGTTTGGGAGAAAGAAGCAGGAGGATCTCCAAGTTCCAGGCCTGCCTAGTCTACATACAGAATGTGTTCCAGGACAGCCAGGGCTATACAGAGAAACTCTGTCTCAAAAAAAAACAAACAAAAAAACCCAAAAACAAAAACAAAACAAGCCGGGTGGCAGCGGCGCACGCCTTTAATCCCAGAACTTGGGAGGCAGAGGCAGGCAGATTTCAAGTCGATTTTGAGGCCTGCCAGTCCACAAAGTGAGCTCCAGGTCAGAAAGGACTATTACACAGAGAAACCCTGTCTTGAGAAACCACAAAAGTAAAGCAGAAACAAACAAAAGAATCCCTGGGGTCTCCAGAGAGATGGCTCAGCAATAAGAATAGGTATAACTTTCAGAGGACCTGAGTTCAATTCCCAGTACCCAAGTCAGTCAGTTCATAATGGTCTGTGACTGCTGCTTCAGGGAGTCAAATGTCCCTGGGGGAACTGACACGCATGTGGTATATGTCATACAGATACACACACACACACACACACACGTTATTAAAAATAAAATAAACCTTTCCTTTGCTGGGCGTGTCTTTAATCCCAGCAATTTTTTAGTTTTTTTTGGAGACAGGGTCTCTATCCATAGCCCTGGCTGCCCTGGGCTCACACTGTAGACCAGGCTGGGCTCAAACTTGCAGGGATCCTCCTACCTCTAACCACCAGGTTAGATTTCACAGATTTCAGGAATGTCTGGTTTCCTGGCTTAGGAATTCATAAAAAGTCGAGATGAGAGGTATCATTCGAAACAGATTTTAATTTCTGTGATTTCCATGAATGAAGTCATATGCCACTGAGAAATTAAAATGTCATTCTCTGGGTTTGGGACACCCCGGTGGTTTCTGAGACAGATTTCTGTGTAGGTCAATTCTTTCTAGATTTCAGACAGACGTTTGGCAGGGGACAAAGCCGTGAGGCTGGATCTAAAGTGACGCTGGCCTTCAGAGCCACCAGGCTATATTTGGCTGTGCTTTGCTTCAGCCTCGTGATTTCTGTTTGTTGGCTGAGTCATCAGCTTGGTGGTGTCAGCACTTTCCAGTCTAGAAGGTTCAGAGCCAAACAGCCTTGGTTTCAGGGGTAAAGGAGGGAGAAGGGGAGGCTTGAGGGCTCGCCCTGGCCAAGGGTTAACCTGAAAAGGAAAGAATGTTCAGAGGGTCTGGGGGAAGGAAGAGAATAATGGGGGTAAATGTGTAAGAAATAGATGATTATTTTATTTCCAACAAACATCAAAATGTTTACATTATATTATAGGTATGAAAATATAGTGAAACCCGTTGTTATAATTATATATGCTAATTTTTGTCAGGACAAGTTCTCTGGACATGGACACATGGGTTTTTTTGTTTTGTTTTGTTATTTTTGTTTTTCAAAACAGGGTTTCTCGGTAGCTGTGGAGCCAGTCCTGGAACTCGCTCTGTAGTTCAGGCTGGCCTTGAACTCACAGAGATCTGTCTGCCTCTGCCTCCTGAGTGCTAGGATTAAAGGAGTGCGCCACCATCACCTGGCAACATGCAGATTTGTTTTTTATCATTTTATTATTGCTTTGTTTTGTTTGAAACAGGGTTTCTCTGTGTATCTCTGACTGTCCTGGAACTGGCTTTGTAGACCAATAACCCAATAACCAACAGTCAAGTTGGCTATTTCCCTCTCCCCATGGGTCCCAGAGAGTAAACTCATGTTATGAGCAGGCTTGTAATCGCCTTTACTTGCAAACCCAGCCTCCCATTTTTTCCATTTTGTTTGAGACAAGGTTTCTCTGTGTAGTCCTGGCTGTCTTGGAACTTGCTCTGTAGACCAGGCTGGCCTCAACTCACAGAGATCCGCCTGCCTCGACCTCCCAAATGCTGGAATTAAAGGCGGTGTGTGCCGACACACCCAGCTCCAGTCTCCCATTTTTAAATATATATTTTAAAATAAACCTTGAGAAGTTCATACGTACATACATACATACAATATATTTTTATCATACCTCCCCCATTTCCTTCCTGCAGCTCCTTCCTGGGCACCTGTACCGACTCCCCCTCTTAATTTCCCATTTAAATTGTCATTTTGTTTTTAATAACCCATCAGCATTGTGTTCTTACAAACAAACAGAGGTGACCTGCTTCTCAAGGGCACAGGGCAAGCAGGATGGGAGGAAATGGCCTCCCCCTCAGAGCTGGCTGCTGCTCCCCAACACAGCAGCTTCCCAGCCAGGAGCGAACCATCCAGCCAAGCTCTCACAATCCTGAGGGTAAAGGGTGGATAATAGTAGTCCTAGTCACAGAGATCAGAGACACTCAGACAAATCACAGTGACAGCCACTGCCACCCACACAGAACCCTGTGTCCCCAGATGTCCGATACAGAGAACCTGGGGGAGATTATCACAGTTGCTGGTCTATTTTTCTGACAGGGACTCCAATGTCTTCATGTCCTACTTGGCCTCAGGACTTAGGTATCAAGTCACAACCCTAAATCCCAAACCTCCTGACCTAGAATGGGGAAGTGCTCGAACGTGCTGGAAGTCTCCTGACTCACTAGATTCCTTTCGCAGTTCGTTCCGCGCACAGATCCGTCCTTTGCAGGTTACCGGGGATGGTTGGTTCAAGGCTGGCACCAATGGGGACCGGGAACGGGCCCCAGCAACAGGGAGGGATTGGCTGAGGACGCGTATGCGTGATGAGCCGAGCGGGGCTAGGCCCCAAACTTCCTGATGGGGGTGGGGCCGGGTGACAGCAGCCTACGTGTCCCGGCTGGGTTTGCCTGGTCTGAAGGTCACACCTGGTGTGTGACTGGGCCCAGCTCTAGGGGGATGGGATGAAACCCAAGGGTCAGCTGGTGTTTTTCTCCCCAAAAGGAAGTGTGGAGCCAGAAGTCTGTTTTGTCATGGGTTGTATAACCAGACAAGGTTACCAAGGGCAGGCCTCAGCTTGTAAAGCGAAGAGACAGAGAAAAACAGGGTGCTGTGTTCTGCTTCCTGTTTATGAACAAGCGCAGAGAGGCTGGACTTGGCCTCAACTCACACAGGAGCCAGCCATGGCCCACCCCCTCAACTCTGTGCTCTCTACATGTTTCTAATTTTGGAAAATTTAGAGAATTACTTGGTTTTAATTTGGGTTTTTGAGACCCAAATGTATGTAGCCCTGGCTGTTCTGGAACTATAAAAATAGACCTTGCTAGATTCGAACTCACACAGACAGATCTGCCTGTCTCTGATGTTGGCCACCCCCCAACAGGTCTTAAATATGTCATTGTTAGGAGTGGAGGTCAGTAATGTTAAACAGACTCCCGCTGTACAATCTGAGGCAGGATAGAAAGACAAATGGTGGTGACTCCCAGCACTTGGGAGTCAGAGACAGGCGGATCTCTGTGAGTTCGAGACCTGCCTGGTCTACAATAACTAGTTCCGGGACAGGCTCCAAAGCTACAGAGAAACCCTGTCTCGAAAAACAAACAAACAAACAAACAAACAAACAAAAAAAGAAAGAAAGAAAAGAAAAGGAAAAAAGAAAGAAAAAGAAAGAAGGAAATGGTGGTAACTTGGGGAGGGAAGGCTGAATGATGCATTTGACCACCTGAGACACAGCCCATGGTGATACACACCTTTAATCCTAGCACTTCAGAGGCAGACTGATCTCTGTAAATTCAAAGTCAGCCTGGTCTAAATAGCAAATTCCAGGTTAGCCAGGGCTACACAGAGACCCTGTCTTCAAAAACAAAACCAAGCCCAGCTGTGATGGCGAGAGCCTTTAATTCCAGTATTCAGGAGCTAGAGGCAGGCAGATCTCTGAGTCTGATGCAAGTTCCAGGACGACTAGGGTTACACAAAGAAACCCTGTCTTAAAAATCCAAACCAACCAAACAAATAAAACCCAAACCAAATAATTCTCCAAATTGGAAACACACAGAGCTCAGCACTGAGGTCTGATCTTCAGAGCAGACCCTAGTGACTGGGCCCTGTGTGAGCTCAGGCCCACGGAGTCCAGACTTTCTACCCTTGTTCATAAACCGGAACTGTTTCTCTCTCTCCCTTTGCTTTACAAGCTGAGGTCTGATCTTGGCCAATAAAAGAAAAGAAATGAAATCTAGTATAGCTCATGTTTTCTGTAAAGACTGCTTCTGCAGAGTTTATATTGCCTTCACAGACAGTTACTAGTCCTAAACGTTCATGACCATGGGCATAGCCTCATTCCTTCCCAGACACATCATCGGAGGATCTCACATTGTTTACAGTAAAGGTGCCTGTCTCCTGTATCGCTGTGGGCTTGGCTTGGCTCTTAGCGATGGCGTCTCATTGAGGTTTCCTAACAACCCTGTGAAGACAGTAACTTCAAACCCTACCCAGTCTTATTCCACCATCACAAAAAAACCGAAAGGGAGCCCTTTTTCACTCTTTGGGATCCCCACATCATACATAAGCCTATATTTAAAAATACCTTTATTTAGCACTCAGGAGGTAGAGGCAGATGGAGCTCTGTGATTTTGAGGCCAGTCTGGTCTACAAAAGCTAGTTCCAGGACAGGCTCCAAAGCTTTAGAGAAACCTTGTCTCGAGAAAAACAAACAAACACTGCCTTTATTTAATTACTTATTTTTGGCTTTTCAGTACAGGGTGGCTTTGTGTAGCTTTGACTGTCCTGGAGCTAGCTCTGTAGACCAGGTTTGCCTCGAATCAGAGATCCGCCTGCCTCTGCCTCTCAAGTGCTGGAATTAAAGGCCTGCACCACCAGCACCCAGCTAAAATCTCTTTCTTAAACCCTAACTTGGCTTCTCCATTCCCCTAACCCTGAAATACTTTCTCCATAGAAGCCATAAATTTCATTTTGGCTTGAGTCTAGGGACACAACCTAAATTCTAAGGGAATTCTTTGTGTCTCCTGACTGTACCCCAAAACACTGAATCTTCACCACTACTTCCTCCCTTCCCTCCCCTCCCCGCCTTTTTTTGAGATAGGGCTTCCCACTAGCTATGGAGCCAGTCCTGGAACTTGGTCTGCAGACCAGATTGACCTCGAACTTCTGCCTCCAAAGTCCTGGGATTAAAAGCATGTGCCACTACCACCCAGCCTTTTTTTCTCCTTTTGTTTTTTCAAGACAGGGTTTCTCTGTAGCTTTGGAGCCTGTCCTGGAACTAGCTCTTTAGACCAGGCTGGCCTCGAACTCACAGAGACTGGTCTACCTCTGCCTCCCGAGTGCTGGGATTAAAGGCGTGCGCCACCACCACCCAGCCCCCATATTTTTTTCAAAGAATAGTTTTTTTTCTTTTTTATGATTTACTTTATTATGTGCATTGGTGTGAAGATGTCAGATCCCCTGAAACTGGATTTACAGACAGTTGTGAGCTGCCATGTGGGTACTGGGAATGGAACTCTGGTCCTCTGGAAAAGCAGGCAGTACTCCTAATCATTGAGCCTTCTCTCCAGCCCTTTCTTCCCTTTTTAAAGACAAGGTCTGACTGTATAACCCTGGCTGCCTGGAACTGGCTTTGTAGACCAAACTGGCCTTAAATGCAAAGAGATCTTCCTGCATCTGCCAGCTGAGTGCTGAGATTAGAGACAGAGTTTCCATACCCAGACTTCCTCCCTTTTTAAAACCTATTATTCATTTATTACTGGGGGTGGAGCTGTGGGCTGTGTGTGTGTGATGACATGCGTGAGGAAGTAGTATCAACCTTGTGGAGCTCGCTCTGTCCTCCCACCCTTACACAGGTGGGGCTGAATTGGCAGTTACCGCTTTATTCACTGAGTTATCTCGATGCCCCCACCCTGTTTGTCTAGAGATTTACTTGTTTCTATTCTATGTGTATAGGTATTTGTCTACACATATGGTCTGGGTACCACCTGCATGCAGTAACTGAGGAGGCCAGAGAAGGCATAGAATCCACTGGCACTGGAGTGATAGTGTTATGGCTAAAGAAGCTCCATTTTATGTTAGGCATCCATCTAGTACCCACACATTCGTTGGGACCCACCGACCATTTGTTGCTGACTCCAGTCCCTGGAAGATAAGTTCCCAGTAACCCTGACTCAGTGACCCCACCCAAAAATGTATATCCCTGACTATCTAGTTATGATATGACTAACTGCTTTGTTTTTATTACACAGATACCCAAATATTGGTTTTTTGTTTGTTTTTGCTTTTTGAGACAGAGTTTCTCTGTGTAGCTTTGGTGCCTGTCCTGGAACTAGCTCTGTAGACCGGGCTGGCCTCGAACTCATAGAGATCTGCCTGCCTCCCGAGTGCTGGGATTAAAGGCTTGCACTACCACTTCTGGGCTGCCAAATATTGTTTTGAGTTGCCTTAACTTCTTAACTTGGCAGACCAGAACAGTTTTTACTTGCTTACGTAGATATTGAACATTTTCATGTGATTTTCCCCTTTAAAAGTCCTTCCTCAGCCAGGCAGTGGTCGCACATGCCTTTAATCCTAGCACTGGGGAGGCAGAGGCAGGTGGATCTCTGTGAGTTTGAGGCCAGCCTGGTCTACAAGAGCTAGTTCCAGGACAGGCTCCAAAGCTACAGAGAAACCCTGTCTCAACCCCCCCGCCCCCCAAAAAAAAGAAAAGAAAAGAAAAGAAAAAGTCCTTCCTCATAAACGGGCAGTGGTGGTGCACGCCTTTAATTACATTAAAAAAAGAATAACCCTGTCTAGGGAAAAAAAGGCCTTCCCCATGCCCCTCCTACATGGCAATCTCAAATCTGGCTCCGTTTGTTCATCCTGCTAGCTGTCAACTAATGAACCTTTTAATTATAACTGGATTGAGACTATGGTCTTTTCCCAGAGGTCATAAAATCTTTAATAACAGATAGTTGTGAGTGCTGGGAACTAAACTCTAGTCGTCTGCAAGTGTTGTAAGTGCTGAACCATCTCTCCAGGCCCCTCTGCTCTCTTGAGCGAGAGTTTCACACTCTACCGTTCAGGCTGATCATAAACTCCATGTGATCCTCCTGCCTCAGCCTTCCAAGTGCTGGGATTCAGAACTGAGCCACAACAACCCATCTTTCTGGGTTTCTCTGTGTAGTCCTGACTGTCCTGGAACTCACTCTGTAGCCCAGGCTGCCCTTTAACTCACAGAGATCCACCTGCCTCTGCCTCCCTGGGTGCTGGGATTAAAGGCGTGCGCCACCACCGCCTGGCATAAAACCATCTCTTTTAAACATTTAGCTCACCTCTCCCCTAATCTTCCCCATCCATGGACATCTAACAGACTCCGCATTCATCTTTCCTGTCTTTCTCTGACATTCCTATCCATGGACTTCTAACGGACTCTAACAGACTTTCTTACTGTAAAAGAACTTTTTGCTTAGTATTTTTTGGTTAGCGTGCAAACTGCCAGGTCTCATGAAGCCATTTCCATGTATATGTGTCATTCTATGTTCTCAACATTCACCATTTAAAATTATTTTTGTTGTTGTTGTTTTGAGACAAGGTTTCTTAGCCCACAGTAGCCTGAAACTCATCATATAGCTCAGCCATCCATGTTCTGGAAATTTCTTTCAGCTTAAAATAAAATGCAGCAGCTGAAAAACAAAATTTTCATTTTTAAATTTTTTTTTTTGTTTTTATATCTTATCCAAAGTTTCCCTCCCTCACCTCTGCCCAGCTCTCCCCTTCCAACCATTCCTCCTCCACAGATGCACTTGGGCATCCCATGGATATTAGCAATTCAGCCATCCATAGTATATCAAGTTATGGTGAGACTAGGCACCTGTTAAGACTGGATGAGGTTATCTGGTAGAAGGAATGGGTCCCAAAAGCGGGCCACAGAGTCAGAGACATCCCCTGCTCTCACTGTTAGGAGTCTTACATGAAGAAGACCACACTATACAACTGTCACATATATGCAGAGGGCCTAGGTCAGTCTTATGCACGATTCTTGCTTGCCGGTTCAGTATCTGGGAGCCCCTGTGAGCTCCTGTTAGTTAGTTCTGTGGGTTTGCTCATGGTGCCCTTGGCACCACCATGTCCTATGATCCTTCCTTCTCCTCTTCTGAAGGACTCCCAGAGCTCTGTCTGCCATATTTTTGC